CAGTAAGGTCAAGTTGTTTGAACAAAAAGGCTACAGGGTGCAGTCCTGGTTCTTGTGTAAGAATTCTGACTGCAGAGCCCTGTACTTCAGCTGTGTGTAATGAAAAGGGTTGGGATGAATCAGGGAGAGCTAGTGTGGGAGCAGTCTCTACAGCTGTCTTCAAGGAACGGAAAGAGGAGTGGGGAAAGGATTTAGGATCTATGGGCTCAGTTAGGTTTCCTTTTGTGAGTTTACATAATGGTTTTGTTAGGATGGCAAAACCAGCTATCCAAAGGTGAAAGTATCCAACCACGCCCAGGAAGGAAAGGAGTTGTTTTGTAGAAGGGGTTGGGGTTTGAGAGATCAGTCGGACATGATTGGCAGGGACAGCACGTGTGTTTTTATGAAGAATTATGCCAAGATAGATAATGGATGAGGAAGAAATTTGGGTTTGACTGGAGTAATGGGGGTTGTCTGTGAAGTCTTGTGGCAGTACAGCCCAGGTAAGTTGCTGAGGCTGATGGGTGTCAGGATCAGTCCAAGTGAAAGTGAAGAGAGGCTGGGATAAAGGGTGCAAAGGAATAGTAAAGAAAGCATGTTTGAGATCCAGAACAGAATAATGGGTTATGGAGGGGTTGTGGAGGGAGGTATTGAGGATAGGAGAGTATACAGCTTTGGCATCATGGGGTGGATAGGCACAACAATTTGGTTGATAAGGTGCAGATCCTGAACTAACCTGTAAGGCTTGTCTGGTTTTTGGACAGGTAAAATGGGGGAATTGTAAGGAGAGTTTATAGGTTTTAAAAGGCCATGCTGTAACAGGCAAGTGATAACAGGCTTTAATACTTTTAAAGTGTGCTGTGGGATGGGATATTGGTGTTGAGCCGGGTAAGGGTGACTAGGTTTTAATGGGATGGTAAGGGGTGCATGATTAGTCACCAAGGAGGAAGTAGAGGTGTCCTATACTTGTGGATTAAGATGGGGAGATACAAGGGGAGGGTGTGAAGGAGGTTTTGAACTGGGGCAAAGGGCGGCAGTGAGGTGTGGCTGTAGCCTAGGAATAGTTGGGGCAGCAGATAATTTAGTTAAAATGCCTAGACCTAATAAGGGAACTGGGTAGGTGGGGATAACTAAAAAGGAGTGCATAAAAGAATATTGTCCAAATTGGCACCAGAGTTGGGGAGTTTTAAGAGGTTTAGAAGCCTGGCCATCAATATCCACAACAGTTATGGAGGCAAGGGAAACAGGCCCTTGAAAAGAAGGTAATGTGGAGTGGGTAGCCTCCGTATCAATTAAGCAGGGGATGGACTTACCTTTCACTGTGAGAGTTACCCGAAGCTCAGCATCCGTGATGGTCCAGGGGGCTTCCAAGGTGATCGGGCAGCGTCAGTCTTCAGCCGCTAAGCCAAGCAGATCTGGGAAGGAGTCAGTCAGAGAGCCTTGGGGTAAAGCTTTAGGGGCTCTAGGAGTGGCTGCCAGGCAAGCTGGGCAGTCTGATTTCCAGTGGGTCCCTGCACAGATGGGACATGGCTTGGGAGGAATCCTGGGCTGTGGGCATTCCTTGGCCCAGTGGCCATATTTCTGGCACTTGAAGCAAGATCCTGATGAAGAAGGTCCTGTAGGAATGCTTGACTGCTGCGGCTTAGGAGTGTTCAGCTTAGGCATTTTGAAGTTCTTATGTGCTGGAGGTATGGCTAGGTTTTGTCTCACAGCAGAGGCAAGTAATTGTGACTCAGAAATGCGTTGCTGTCTGGCTGCCTCCTCTCTATTATTGTACACCTTGAAGGTGAGGTTGATTAATTCCTGTTGTGGGGTTTGAAGACTGGATTCTAATTTTTGAAGCTTTTTTCTAATGTCAGGAGCTGACTGGGTTATAAAAGGCATATTTAGAATGAGACGGCCTTCTGACCCTTCAGGGTCTAGGACTGTCAAGCATCTCAGGACTGCTGCCAAATGAGCCATGAACTGGGCTGGGTTTTCGTCTTCACCTTGGTTAGTTTCTTTAAGCCTCTCATAATTAACAGCTTTGTAAGCTGCCTTTTTAAGCCCTTCAACTAGGCAATAAATTGTGTAATCTCGCCTAGCTATACTTGGGGAATCTGCCTGATAGTTCCACTGGGGATCCTCTCGGGGTGCTGCTCTAATGCCTTCCTGGAGGTCTGGCTTGTGGAGTCAGCAGTTGTCAGCGTGAGACTGGGCCAGAGAAAAAACTCTTTCCCATTCATCTGGGGAGAGGGTAGAAGTTAAGATGACATTTAAGTCACTCCAGGTTAAATTGTAGGACAGAGTTAGATATAGGAATTTCTGTATATATTTAGTGGGTCCTGATGAGATAAAGCCTAAACGCTGACTGATCTGAGAGAGATCTGAGAGAGAAAAAGGCACATGTACTCTGACTATGCCTTCAGCTCCAGCCACCTCTCTAAGAGAAAATTTTTGGGCAGGTGGGAAAGAGCTAGTCGTGGAACCAAACTGTAAACTGGATGGGGTGTGAGGACCGGGGATGATAGAAGGATTATAGGGTGGAGGAGTGGAAGCTGAGGAAGAATTGGGACTTGGCTCAGCCTGGAGAGGAGCAGCCTGGGGAGGAGGGGAGAGGTCAGATGGGTCTGTAGAAAAGGAAGATTGGAAAGACTCAGCAACGCTTGAGGTTGGGACTGAGGGGACAGGCGAGAGGGAAAGAAGGAGGATTTGGGCAGAATCGCAATGGGAACAGAGAACAGGGAGGGAACGAAGTGTGAAAAATGCCTGGATGTAAGGCACCTCAGACCACTTGACCATTTTTCGACAAAAATTATCTAGGTCTTGTAGGATGGAGAAATGGAAAGTGTCGTTTTCTGTCCATTTAGAGCCATTATCTAGTTTGTATTGGGGCCAAGCAGTGTTGCAGAAGAAAATAAGACGTTCAGGTTTTAGAAAATAAGACGTTCAGGTGTGAGTTGAAGAGGTCTTAAGTTTTTGAGAACACAGGCTAAGGGAGAAGAGGGAGGAATGGAGGGTGGAAGGTTGCCCATAGTGAAGGAGGCAAGCCCAGAGAAAAGAGAGGGTAGAGACACGGAGAGAAGGGGTGGGTAGAGACATGGAGAGAAGGGGTGGGGGGTGCTTGCCCCCCAGGAAAGTGGAAAAGGGGTCGGGGGTGCTTGTCCCCATAGAAAGTGGAGAGAAAAGAGAGGGTAGAGACAGGGAGAGAACGGGCAGGGGGTGCTTGCCCCCCTAAAAGTGGTGCTTGCCACTAAGGGTGAAGGATCAAGGCAGGTGTTCCCATGGTGATCCAACACCTCTGAAACATGGGTGAATAATCATGCAGGCGTCCCTGCAGTGATTAAACACCAAGGGAAAACTGTCTTCCCGAGTCTGTGACCAGCGCCAGAGTTTTGGGTTCAGGGATAAAACGCATCTCCTCTGTCTCTACCAGAAAAGGAAAGGAACTGAAATTAAGAGAAGGGAGAGATTGAAAGATGGCCCTAAGATTGATAGGAGAAAGAGACTGAGGGATAGTGTGAGAGGATGGAGAAGAGAGTAAAAAGAGGCCATTTACCGGATTTAAAATTGGTGAGATATTCCTTGGGCTGCTTGGTCTGAGGACCTGAGGTCGTAGGTGGATCTTTCTCACGGAGCAAAGGGCAGGAGGACAGGGGATTGATCTCCCAAGGGAGGTCCCCCGATCCGAGTCATGGCACTAAATTTCACGTGCGTCCCTGTGAAGAGACCACCAAACAGGCTTTGTGTGAGCAATAAAGCTTTTTGATCAACTGGGTGCAGGCAGACTGAGTCTGAAAAGACAGTCAGCGAAAGCAGATAGGGGTGGGGCTGTTTTATAGGATTTGGGTAGGTAGTGGAAAATTACAGTCAAAGGGGGTTGTTCTCTGGCCAGCAGGGGTGGGGGTCACAAGGTGCTCAGTGGGGGAGCCTTTGAGCCAGGATGTGCCAGGAGAAGGAACTCCACAAGGCAATGTCATCAGTTAAGGCAAGAACCGGCCATTTTCACTTCCCTTGTGACTCTTCACTTGCTTCAGGCCATCTGGATGAATACGTGCAGGCTTGGGCTCAGAGGCCTGGCAAATGGCCTCCTAATGATTTTTTTAAAAAAGGGTTACAAAAATACCCAGTGTCCCAATAAAATATGCACACTGCCTAGATGTGCATAGTTCTGGAAAACAGGCAGTGCTTGAGCGTCCTTGAAGAGCATTGGGTCTGCATGGAGCACTTGCAGCTTTGGGGTGATGACTACAGGCTCCCGGTTGCAATAGACAGTAACAAACCCTGCTTCTTTGTATTCAGGAGAAGTTCTGGACTCATACAGGGAAACTCGGACTAGAGAAGGAAGATAATTTTAAATTCAACAACCCAGAGTCACAGATCCACAGTCTGGGAAAGTAAAACAGGAGCTTTGAGGGTTTAATTGTAATGCTGTTTTGACACAGGTCTTTTACACACTGGAATTCTAATCATTCAGGGATTACCAATATTGTGCTACCTACTGTATTAATAAACAAAAAGGAAACTGGTCTCTATGAGAATCTCTATGTGGTGCCTTCAGACAAAACTTCACCAGGTTTAGAGAGAAAACCCCTGTCTCTACACCTCCATTCCCAGGGCGAGCTCACTCCAGCATCAAGTTCCCCGTGGTGAGTTTTCCTGCACAAAGGTCCAAGGGGAGAGGTAGGAGACGGAGGCAGGAAGTCCAGTTCAGGGACGGGGATTCCAGGACGAGCAGTGAAGGGGAAGGATCTGGGCGCAGCCTGGCGGTCTCTTCCTGGTTTCCATAGACAGATCCTTGGCCAGGAATTAGGCAGACAGTGTGACAAAGAGGCTTGGTGTAGGAGAAGAAGGATCAGGACAAAGTCCCAGGTCCCGGGCGTGGCTCTCAGGGTCTCAGGCTCCCAGGGCCGGGTCTGGATTGGGGAGGCGCAGCGTTGAGGATTCTCCACTCCTCTGAGTTTAACTTCTTTTCCCAACCTGTGTCCTTCTTCCAGGATAATCAGGACACGTCCCCAGCTGCCACTCCCACTGGCTGTCGGGTTTCTAGAGAAGCCAATCAGTGTCGTCCCGGTCCTGGTTCTAAAGTCCTCAGTCAACCACCGGGACTCCGATTCTCCCCAGAAGCCAAAGATGCAGTCATGGTGCCCCGAACCCTCCTTCTGCTGCTCTCGGGAGCCCTGGCCCTGACCGAGACCTGGGTGGGTGAGTGCGGGGTCGGGAGGGAAACAGCCTCTGCAGGGAGGAGGAGGTGACCAACCGCCCGGCTGGGGCGCAGGACGCGGGGAGCCGCGCTGGGAGGAGGGTCGGTGGGGGGCCTCAGCCTCTCCTCGCCCCCAGGCTCCCACTCCTTGAGGTATTTCAGCACCGCTGTCTCCCGGCCCGGCCGCGGGGAGCCCTGGTACCTCGAAGTCGGCTACGTGGACGACACGCAGTTCGTGCGGTTCGACAGCGACGCCGCGAGTCCGAGGATGGAGCCGCGGGCGCCGTGGATGGAGCAGGAAGGGCCGGAGTATTGGGACCGGAACACACGGAACGCCAAGGTCAACGCAGAGACTTTCCGAGGGGACTTGAGGAACCTGCTCCGCTACTACAACCAGAGCGAGGCAGGTGAGTGACCCCGGCCTGGGGCGCGGGTCAGGACCTCTCCCCATCCCCCACGGACGGCCCGAGTTCCCCGGAGTCTTTGGGTCTGAGATCCACCCCGAGGCTGCGGGACCCGCCCAGACCCAGGATCCAGGAGAGCCCCAGGCGCCTTTACCCGGTTTCATTTTCAGTTTAGGCCACAATCCCCGCAGGTGGTCGGGGCGGGGACGGGAATCGGTGGGGAGGCCTGACCGCGGGGGCGGGGCCAGGGTCTCACACCTTCCAGTGGATGTACGGCTGCGACCTGGGACCCGACGGGCGCCTCCTCCGCGGGTACCGGCAGTTCGCCTACGACGGCAGGGATTACATCGCCCTGAACGAGGACCTGCACTCTTGGACCGCCTCAGACACGACGGCTCAGATAACGCAGCGCAAGTGGGAGGCGGCCCGTGCGGCGGCGAAGCTGAGAGCCTACCTGGAGGGCGAGTGCCTGGAGTGGCTCCGTAGATACCTGGAGAACGGGAAGGAGACGCTGCAGCGCGCGGGTACCAGAGGCAGTGGGGAGTCTTCCGCATCTCCTATAGATTTCCCGGGGTGGCCTCCTAGGAGGAGGGGAGGAAAATGGGATCAGGGCTAGAATGTCGCCCTCCCTTGAATGGAGAATGGCATGAGTTTTCCAGAGTTTCCTCTGAGGGTCCCCTCTGCTCTCTAGGACAATTAAGGCATGAAATCTCTGAGGAAATACCCTTTTGACCCCTGCAGCAGCCTTGGGCCCGGTGACTTTTTCTCTCAGGCCTTGTTCTCTTCCTCACACTCAATGTGTTTGAAGGTCTGATTCCAACTTTTCTCAGTCCCTCGGCCTCCACTCAGGTCAGAACCAGAAATCGTTGTTCCCCCCTCAGAGACTAGAACTCTCCAAGGAATAGGAGATTATCCCAGGTGCCTGTGTCCAGGCTGGTGTCTGGGTTCTGTGCTTCCTTCCCCACCCCAGGTTTCCTGTCCATTCTCAGGATGGTCACATGGGTGCTGCTGGAGTGTCCCATGAGAGATGCAAAGCCCCTGAATTTTCTGACTTTTTTCGTCAGATCCCCCAAAGACACACGTGGCCCACCACCCCGTCTCTGACCATGAGGCCACTCTGAGGTGCTGGGCCCTGGGCTTCTACCCTGCGGAGATCACACTGACCTGGCAGCGGGATGGGGAGGACCAAACTCAGGACACTGAGCTTGTGGAGACTAGGCCAGCAGGGGATGGAACCTTCCAGAAGTGGGCAGCTGTGGTGGTGCCTTCTGGAGAAGAGCAGAGATACACGTGCCATGTGCAGCACAAGGGGCTGCTGGAGCCCCTCACCCTGAGATGGGGTAAGGAGGGGGATTGAGGGGGTCATACATCTTTCAGAGAAAGCAGGAACCCTTCTGGAGCCCTTTAGCAGGGTCAGGGTTCAGGCCTGGGGGTTAGGGCCCCTCACCTTCCCCTCCTTTCCCAGAGCCGTCTTCCCAATCCACCATCCCCATTGTGGGCATCGTTGCTGGCCTGGCTGTCCTAGGAGCTGTGGTCGCTGCTGTGATGTGGAAGAGGAAGAGCTTAGGTAGGGAAGGGGTGAGGGGTGGGGGCTGGGTTTTCTTGTCCCACTGGAGGTTTCAAGCCCCAGGTAGAAGTGTTTCCTGCCTCATTACTGGGAAGCAGCATCCACACAGGGGCCAACCCAACCTGGGGCCTGTGTGCCAGCACCTACTCTTTTGTGAAGCACATGTGACAATGAAGGACAATGTATCACCTTAATGATTATGGTGTTGGGATCCTGATTCCAGCATTCACGAGTCAGGGGAAGGTCCCTGCTAAGGACAGGCCTTAGGAGGGCAGTTGGTCCAGGACCCACACCTGCTTTCCTCGTGTTTGCTGATCCTGCCCTGGGTCTGCAGTCATAGTTCTGGAAACTTCTCTTGGGTTTAAGACTAGAAGGTTCCTCTAAGATCTCATGGCCCTGCCTCCTCCCTGTCACCTCACAGGACATTTTCTTCCCACAAGGGGAAAAAGAGGGAGCTACTCTCAGGCTGCATGTAAGTGGTGGGGGCGGGAGTGTGGAGGAGCTCAACCACTCTATAATTCCTCCTGTCCCACATCTCCTGTGGGCTCTGACCAGGTCCTCTTTTTGTTCTACCCCAGGTAGCAACAGTGCCCAGAGCTCTTGTGTGTCTCTCATGGATTCTAAAGGTGAGACCCTGGGGGGTCTGAAGTCAGTGGGGGATGGGGCAGAGGGAACATGACTGGGTTATGGGGATTCTTTGATTGGGATGTTTTGAGAGTGTGGTGGGCTCTTCAGAGACTGACTGACTTGAATTTGTTCATGACTGTTGTCTTCTGTAGGCTGAGAAAGCTGCCTTACATGGGACTGAGATGCAGGATTTCTTCACATCTCCCCTTTGTTACTTCAAGAGCCTCTGGCATCTCTTTCTGCGAAGGCATCTGAATGTGCCTGCCTCCCTGTCAGCATAATGTGAGGAGGTGGAGAGACTGCCCACCCCCGTGTCCACTGTGACCCCTGTCCCCACGCTGACCTGTGTTTCCTCCCCAGTCATCCTTCCTGTTCCTGAGAGTTGGGGCTGGATGTCTCCATCTCTGTCTCAACTTCATGGTGCGCTGAGCTGCAACCTCTTACTTCCCTACTGAAAATGAGAATCTGAATAGAAATTTGTTTTCTCAAATATTTTCCATGAGAGGTTGATGGGTTAATTAAATAAGTCAATTCCTAGAATTTGAGAGAGGAAATAAAGACCTGAGAATCTTCCAGAATCC